TCCTTGAGTGAGGCTGTTCTCAGTGGGGGCAGATGACAGGAGCAATGGGCTCCAGTTGCAGCAAGGAAAGTTGAGGTTGGATATTAGGAAAAACTTTCTCACTAGCAGGGTGGTGAAGCACTGGGACAAGTTACCCAGAGAGGTGGTGTTGGGAATAGCCTCACCCAGCTCAACAAAGCCTTGGCTGGGATGATGTAGTTGGGGCTGGTCCCACTTGGAGCATTGGGTTGTTTCGGGGGGGGGGGTTCCAATTTTGGCATCTTTTTCCCCTGCTTTCTCCTCGGGGTATATAGCATTGTACACCATTTAATTACAGGTGTGTTTAATACAGATTTGTGACTGGAAGGACCTGCTCAGTTCCATTTGCAAAGGCTTGCTTCCTCAGAAAGGAAGGTTAGGTATTTTGGAATTCTGGTACTTACTGCAGAGCAGGCAGCAGGATTTGGAGGAATGTAAGGCAGGTATCAAAGGAAATATAGATGTGCTTGGGTACGTCATGTTTCAGTTTAGTGTCTACAAATTTACCTGTTCCCACGGGCAACATGTAGTGGGTGCATGTGCACCCCCTGAGTGTGGCGGTGCACCCCCTAGGAAAAGGTGCCGGCAACACTGTCAGCAGCGCCTGCGGGGTGTTGCCACTCACCACCCCCACTGCCGACACCACTGGCGGCATCTGCAGGCGGTCAGAGATCGCCACTGGCTGCCGCCAACGACAGCTCCGGCAGCATCTGCAGGAGCTCCCCGTGCCCCACCCCCAGCCACAGGGGACATGTATCATTCATGCCTGTTCCCAAGTGGAGACTAACCTTTTCATCCAAAATCCACATACTGTTTTTATTCTGCACACAGAACCCTCAGATGACAGTAAGAATTCCATGCAGGTACTGAGGGTCCTATCAAATTTCTGATTTAAATAGCCATGCCTCTTCCCTCTTCCTTCACTATTTGTGGCTTGTGGGGGGGGGGGAGAGGGAGGAGCCAATTTGAATCAGTTAAAAAAACTCAAGTTAAAAGAAAACTGCCTGACCTATCAAAGATGGCTAAGCAGGATATAATACGCTTCTTCTGTTACAATAGAATCTGTGAATTAAAATATAATTAATTTCATCAAAGGAAATGTGGTAATTGACCCCACAATTATTTATTGGAAAATAATTATAACGTTAGTATCAAAAATGATAGAAAATGTTTGTTTTATCAATTAAGAATGAAGAGACCAAAGGCAGCCTGATTTGTTCTCTGAAAAGCAGTATGAGATTTAAGTCTGAAACATGATATTAATAGATTCATATGGGTGCACATAAGGCTAATATAGTCAATGCTGTAAATTTTTATATGGTTTCATAAATAGTGCTATCACCAACATTTCAAAGAAAATCTGAAAAAAGAGAGCTCATATGTGATGGCATAAATTCAGTGTATTTTATAGAACACTGTTACTCCAGATATAGCCTACGGGATGTGACTTTTCATAAAACCTAATGAATTCCTAGATTTGTCAGCTGTTTCAACACAGATGCATTTTGCTAATCTAATGGAAACATTTTGAGCCCAGATCCAAAATATCAATAGCTTTTAGTATTGCAAATTAGTTTAGCTATTGGGTAAATGGGACTGTGGTTCTTGATAAAAAGTAGCAAGTGATTTTGTCTCTGTGTATTATATTTAACTGCCTCTCCAACATTTGATGCTCATACTTTTTTTCTTGCAGAGTTTTAAGTTGAACGTAGATAGCCACTGTGCTTTAAAAGAAGCTGTGGTAGAAGAAGGACGTCAACTTCTTGAGCTTATTGTATCTCACAAATCAGGTAAATCCTTCTGAAATATTGGAAGTCTTTATGTCTCCAGACTATTAAAGAATGAAGAAGCATTGCTGTAAATTACTGCATATATTCACTTCCTTATGTATTATTAATATTTACATTATCAGATTGACCTTCAAGATTTATAAATGTTTCATATACTGCATACAATGCTGTGATACTTATAAAATGAAATACAGCCTGCAAATAGTCTGTTCATTTTATTTTGGTCTTGCTGCTCAGCTGAGTTTCAATTGAAATCGCATCACTGAGAACTTCACATTGACATGTTCTTTGATGTAGGTGCTATGGAAATAACATTAAGATAATGAATTAGGATTTCAGATATATACATATATATGTATATCCATATTCTGCACAGGTATTTGCATTGGGAAAACTTTTATGTCATTTTAACTCTTACTTCAATATTAATGTATTTATGAGAAATAGACTTTACATTAAAAACAGTTATTTTCTTTGGTTGGGTTTGTCTTTTCTTTTTTCTAACAAGGCCTTAAATCAAGATAAAGGATGATTTTTGTAGAAGTTAACATGACTAGTCTGACAAATTTTAATCAGCATACTATGCTTCTGGGATTGCTATCTTTATTTTGGCCTACTTAGCATATTTTCATCCAGGATGAAGTGGTCCTTTAGTTTACATTTTCCTGGTGATTACAGGTGTTATTCCCCAATCTGCACCTATTACTTGGGCACCTCAGATGGAATTTCTTTAACGTGGAAACTAAAGTTGTTGTTATTCGTGTAATTCCCAGAGGTGTGGAAAGACCATTGTAAAGTTTTCAGAGCTATACACTACATTAGCAGTGCATGTTGTAATATAGTTAGGAAATAATAAAATAAAACACTGAAAATAAATAGGAATCAAAGATTTTATATATCCTGGTTATTATTTTTTCATTACTTAAGACCAGAAAAGAGATAATAGGAAGGATAGAGGCAGTTCTGTGGTTTTCTCCATGATTTTATAAATCATTGGTTCTGTGAGATTTTATTTTTCTTTAAATCCTGAGCTCAGGCATAATTAAAATTTAACATGCTGTCTCATTGTGTCTAAAATACTTTGACCCTATAGTATTGTTAACAGTATGAACATAGTAATTCTAGTCTCATTTCTAAGTACCTTAAAAGGCGTGCTGTGTTTTTTTTCTTTTAAATGTCCTACTAACCCTTTGCTTAAAGCCTATTAAAGCCTTTAAAGATGTAGTTGAATTTACAACTTTCACTTTTTCCCCCTCATTTTGGAGAAGGACTGAAGGACATGTTGCAGATGATTGCAAGTCAATGGAAGGAACTACAGAGACAAATCAAACGGCAACACAGCTGGATTCTTAGGGCTCTGGATATCATCAAAGCAGAGATACTGGCTACTGATGTGTCTGCAGAGAATGAGGAAGGGACTGGGAGCCCCAAGGTAAGTGGCTTGAAGTTTGCCTTATTTCCTCTTATTTCCGTCTTCTTTTGAACTAGGCACCACTGAAGTTTTCTTTCCACCCTAAGGCTTTTCATTTCTACTGGGTAAACCTTTTTTTTTTTATAAACAAAATGAAATGCCTTACTCTGAAACAATAAAAAAGCTTTAAAAAACTTTCAAGTTTTCCAGGAAGGCCTCCTTCACTGTGTGTGGAGGATCATGAGGGGTAGGAAAGGGACATAAAACATTTAGTAAACAAAACATAAAGCATCTTTAACATGAATAATCAGAATGGTTTAAATTGTTTTGTTGCAACTATAAATCACTATAATCAGTGCAATCACTCAGCTCTGACATCCATTAGCCGCTTGGTTACAGCAAATTAACAAAGAAGAGAGAAAGTGATTCATTATCTCATTCCTGTTAATGACTATCAGATGCATTGCTTAATTAGGGAATGGCCATTGTAGTGGGAAGAAGGTCATATGCTTTGCCACAAATCTTTTTGCTCTGAGTTTAAGCCCTCCATAATAGTGCATGTACTGAATACAACAAGTACTCTAAAAATAAGGTATCAGCATCTATAATCATTTGGTATGCATTAATGATCAAAGATGGCTATATTTACCAGTCACCCAACTTGATACTTGCAAGATTGTTTTAAACACCATGAAGACTAATTTAAATCCACTCTGCTTCAATATGTGAGAGCCGCATATACCAAGAACTTATGACACAACATAAGTGGCTTTATTATCAAGAACAGGACCACATTTAGTTTTAGAATCACTCTGACTCTTCAATTTTCATTTTAAGTAACAAGAATGCAGAAGAATGGTCTAGTACTGACAACATCTTGTCACATGGGAGAATCTGTTTCACAGATAGCAGAGACTGTTATGATCAGTAGCTTTTTGGATTCTGATGTAAAAGAAGAATTTGTGGTAGTGTTAAGTATTTCTTAGTGACCAATTTGTGGAGTGATACTTGGCATTGTTGAAGATAAATTTAATGTGCAGGTGCTAATACTGTGCTCTAACTGTACACTGTGAGGACCATCTTCCAGATTATGGAGGAGGAGTCAAGAGTAAAAATGAAACAAGAGTGAAGAAATAAACCTATGTTCTTAAATTCAGACTGACCTAATATCCTGAGTCACTGACTTGGAGAGAAGAGCTCCTGTGTCATATGGCCTTTTGTAAGGTAGTGGGCAGTGGAGCAAAACTCAATTTCATTGTTAGGTCCATTAAAATAAACAGACTAGCTCAGAGTTAAAAGTTTTCACCTCCTATAATATGACCTTGTACTGAATAATATAACAATATTCATTTGACTGCATTATCTCTGAACAGATTGACTCATCCATGGCCAAAGGCTAAATGCGTTACCAAAATTAAAACATAAGAAAGTATTCTGAAATTCAGCTTGGGTTCTTTTCTTGTTTTTCTTCTTTTTTGTCGGTTTGGGTTGTTTTTGTTTTATTTTTTGCTAAGAAAATTACAGAAAACCTTGGTTTAAATGGCAGAGTTCAAATACTTTACTTGGAGAGGAAAAAAAATATAGGGACATAATTTAAATTGACCAAATACCCTTAATTATTTATATGGAGAGAGAACAGCTCCTTGTCATCTGCTGTTTAACCAGGAAGTGCTAAATCAAACCGATGCTTGCTTCTGGTCCTATCTAAAAACAAACTCACACCAGCACCAGCCACAGAAGCTTCAGGTTATTTCTTACAACAGGTCACAACCCCTTATGAAGTGACCAGGCAATGGGTAATACAATTAAAGCAGCAGAAAAATCTCTCTTCAGGTTATCTATTCCTTCAGAGTAAAAAATTAGTGAAAATTAAAACATAAGAGGAAATACAACTCTAGATTTTGGTTTACATTTACTTCAGAAGCCACAGGGAACCTGAAAAGCATAATAGAAAATCTAAGGACTATATCTAGGGGGTATTTTTCTTTTTTACCTTGTTTCAGAGACTGCAGGAAAGTGGTTGGTCTTAGAAATCTGTAAAGAAATAGGATTGGGAGGAATTTCAAAGACTGTACGAAACTTTTTCCCCTAGGACTTTTTAAAAGTGTTTTCCCAGTACTGTGGTGTCTTTTATAAAAGCAAACGGAGGGAGGGAGGGAGGGAAAAAGGGATATTGTGCAGTTCTAGAAATATATCGTCAGCATTCACATTCAGGAATTCAGATATTACTTATTAGATTATACATTTTATTGTAAGGCAGTTTCATGATTAGTTTATAACCTGAAACTCAGCTTTGGTATATGCTGAATCCTATGGGGGACTTGGGAGATTTCAAAATATTTTTAATACTAGCCTCTAAAAATGCATTGCATTCACGCTTTCACGCTCTCCTATTCTCCGGCTCACTCTCCCTCTTGCTATCTCTCCTGCTCTCCCTCTCGCTCCCTCACTCTCTCTCCTGCTTGCTCTCTTGCTCTCTGACCTTTTACTGTGAAAATAAAAAGTAAAACAAAAAGGAATACTTAAAGATCACTTTTAAGGGTGGTGAAGTTTCCTTCCCTAACTGTACTTGGTAGTATTTTGTAGTTTGTATTTTTTTAGAACAAACACACAACTAGCATATCAAACAGAAATTGGATTATATGATCTACCTTGCTGTTTGTAGAAAAGTACTTACATTTTAAAATAAATAATAGCAGCAGCTTATGCACTGCAGTTTAACAAGTGACAAGTAACAGTTTAGCAAGTAACGTGATATGACAACTACTGGTAAAAGTAACAGACAGTACATCTCTTTTGCTGAAAATGGATGTGAGAAGCTATGAATACTTCTAAAATATTTAGAAATGAAAGGTATACATATGTATGTTTTATTGTGCTTTCCTTTCTTGGGGAAATGTCTGAGGTTACCTGCTTTTTAACTGGCCACATTCTGGTGGACCACCATCCTAGCAGAAGAGAATTAGACAGGATTTTTGTTGGAGCAGTGTTGCTCCTCAGTCAACAAGAACAATAATTGCTGAGCAATAACATGAGATACTTTATCTCCTACTGGCCAAGTGAAGCGTTGTTGGATAACTAAATTTATACCACATATTTGAGAGTTACACTTGCTTTTCTCCTTCAGCTCTGAAAACGAATGCTTTACATTTGAAAGCTTGTCTAATTTTATCCGAATTTTACAGCTGGTCTAATAAAAGATATCACCCAAAAAAATCCAGGCCCCTAGTAATAACAGTCAGACCAAACAGTTGGGAGCAATTTCGTAATGATTGTAATCCAGAACAACATATCTCCCCTCAGTTTGTTAATGTCTGAAAAATGTGTAAGAAAACAGGGAAAAAGTAAGCTGGAGAATACAAACAGTCCTTACAGATAGTGATGTGTCCTGATTATCGATTTGTACTGCTATAGGCATAGCATTTAAAATATTATAATACAGAAGGAATATGTGAGTGACTGTTTTGGTTTTTTGGTTTCTCTTATCAGCATAGGAAAATGTCACATATGTGAGTAGCTATTTTGCTTTTCCTTACTGCAACTCTAGTTTCCTATTCTTTGAAAATATGTATTACGCACATACCATAATAATATGCAAAGCAACATACCACACCAATCATTTTCAGGTAATTTTCTGTCATTTAAAAGCAGGTAAGTCATTATTGAGATAATCTTGCATGTTGTTAACAGATATAAGGCAGATGAGATCAGGATGTAGTGTTTTATCTTACATAGACACCTTAGTTTGTTAATTACAAGAATGAGCTCACCCTACAGTGCATGGGGCTAGTGCATATAATACTTTAATAGTCAGTGTTTTGAAATTTTCAAACAACTACATCAGTATGTATGATCTGCCTTTCTTGCCTTTTCCTGGAATTAGTTTCTTCTAGCAAAGAGGGAATAACACATGCCAAAGATACTGCCTAAGAGATTGTTCTACTTAATACTATTTTTACTAAGTCACACAGGACGTTTTACAAAATTAGGCTCTCCAAACTGAATTTCACACAATCTCTCATCCCCACACATCCATACACACATTAAATACTGTACATATAGACTATTAATGGTATAACTTCCACCACACCCTAAGATGATAGATTCACCGAATATAAAGAGAACTAGAACAGCAGTAACTCCATCAGTAAAAAATGTAAAATGAAAAATGAGATGGAATTTGGTTGTTCAGCCTGTGCCATCTTATAGCTGCTGACTATTTCTGGTAAGTTATCTGCTAGCTCTATGGTCAGCTCCTGGTCTGAGTTCCTGGAACACAGAAGCTAGAGAAAGTGTGGTTTTGGTCATTTAGCAGAGGGTGCTAACCCCCTGGATCCTCTCAGGTTCCCCGTGGGAACCACTGGCTCATCCTGGTGTGCAAGAGCTCTGTGCTGTCAGATGTTTCATCTTTGAAAAAAAAATATTAAACAAAGGACCTGAACATAACTCCCAGCTTTTGTAATTACCATCTGTCCACCTCAATTTTCCTTGCAATCTCAGCTGAGTACAACATTCTCTTCTTCACAAAACTACTATACTCATAGATTCATAGATTATAGAGTTGGAAGGGACCCAATGGATCGTGTCTGACCCCCTCCCCCTGGCAAGAAAGAGGACCAAGTTCATACAACCTCAGTCAGGTGATTGTCAAGCCGCCTCTTGAAGACCTCCAACTTAGGTGATAGCACCACCTCTCTTGGAAGCCCATTCCAGATTCTGGCCACCCTTATTGTAAAAAATTTCTTCCTAATGTCTAACCTAAATCTACTCTCCACCAGCTTGCACCCATTATTCCTAGTTACTCCCTGAGGCACTCTGATAAACAGCACATC